AAAACAGCAAAAAAAATCACTTTAAAAAAATATATAATGTGTAATATTTATAGTTATTTTTACAGTTTTTGCCATTTTTGAACAGTTTTTCAAAGTTTTTTTTTTTTTCTGGCATCCTTGCGGTTAGATTTTCACAGATTCTTTTTTACCAAGCTGTTTAATAACAGTGTACATGTGCTCTGGATTTTAGCATAACTTGATCTCTATTAGAAGGACGCATTTACTCATGAAATAAGTAAATCATCTTGAACCACCTACCCTGTCTGTTATTTCCACACGCACACTCACAAATTAACTGCTGTAGCACAAATGAATACCTTACGTTGAATGCCAGGGAGTGCGGTGAGCAGTAAAAGCAGCGTATAATCAACTGAGGTGAAAGTGCAAAGGTTGTAATTAACTTTCTTTAAACTAAGGCTGCTTTAGATCTTCAGTGGCAGAATAAATAAAGGGAATCAGGGGAGCAACTGCACCAACAGAGGGAGAAAAAAAAAAAGACTGGCTTCATTTTTTTTTCTGTCACAATGAACAAAAGGTCCAATTAATTGACTGATTATAATTGCCCTGGTTTCCCCTCACCCAGTTAGAGGCTTAAACAAGGTTCTGACAGTGCAGCGAATCGGGGAGCAGCGGGCAGTTTTTTTTTTTTTACAGCAGGTACCAAGAGCTGAAATTACACAAGTGTCTCTAGAGAAAGGCCTTTTCATTAAGCTTTAAGACTCAACTTGCCTCTTCAAGTGACCTCAGAAAACTTCCTGAGAGTTTTGAAATCACTACATAATGCAACTTCTTACTCGATGAGTACTGAAATTAGGTGTAATTTTATTTGCAGTTAGCACAGTTTTGTAATGAAAGTGGTTTTTGTGTATTTGCTTGTTACTAACAACGCCACTGGGTTGAAAAAAAAAACAGCGTATACTTTTCTTCTTCCAGTTTGCTGCCTTAAAATTTTACCAGTGTAACGATCCTGACCAGGATGATGAGTTTGATGAAGGCAAAGCAGCCGAAAACATCTGATGAAAACAGGGCCGAGTCTTCATTTATCTCAGTGGACGTGATTGACTTCCCCCTCCTTTAGTTTGCACAGCTGTGTGTGCTTCATCTGATTTAGGGAGACGAGTACTTCATCATGAATTTAAAAAAACTGAATTAAATTTAATGCTGTGTATGTAAATCATGGGGACGTATTAGACTTAGATAAACTTTATTGATCTACATGGGAAATTGTTTGATCACAGTTGCAACACAAAATAAATAATTATATAAGAATATACCAAAAAATAAAAGAAATAAGAAAAAAAAAAGCAAGCAGGAAAAGAAATAATACAATACAAAGATTTCCATATGTACATTTTACCATTTTTTCTTCCCCCTTTGCCAAGTAAAGAAAGAAAGAAACGAAAGTCCATCCATCCGTCCATCCATTATCTGTACACCACTTAATACTCACTAGGGTCACGGGGGGGCTGGAGCCTAATCCAGTTGACTCAGGGTGAAGGCAGGGGACACCCTGGACAGGTCACCAGTCTATCACAGGGCTGAAATTAGAGACAGACAATCAAGCACACTCACATTCACTCAACATGTTTTTAGATGTTGTGGGAGGAAGCCGGAGAACCCGGAGAGAACCCACGCTGCACGGGGAGAACATGCAAACTCTACGCAGAAAGATTTCGGTGCCCTCACCGGGACGCGAACCGGCGACCTTCGAGCTGTGAGGCAACAGTGCTACCAACTGCGCCACCTTGCAGCCCAGAACCAAAAGTGAAAATAAATAAATAAAAATATAGTATTAAGTCATTGTATTGTTTTCTGCATAGAAAGAAATGATCCCCCACAAACAGGTTTTAGATACTGCCAAATGTAAATCATTAACACCAAAAATGACAAAATTTAAGAACAATACATATTTTCATTAATCAAATGGTCAAAAATAACAGCATAAAGCATCACTTTCTGTTCAATAAGGTCAGACACAGTCATTTCCTTTCACCACTCAGATTCCCATTCTGAGAATGGAATTAGAATGGCATTGCATGTTCTCCTTTTTGCGCTGCAGCGTGCTGTTCATGTCAGTATTTTGACCTTTACGGTGAACTAAATATTGTCGGGAGTCTTCTACGTGTAGTTATTGTTGTCTGTGCACCAGATGTTGCGATTATGTAAGTGTTTTGTTTTAGTGATTGAAATTTGGAGCTCAGTAAGCCGAGTCTTCCTGTGAGCAGAGTGAGTCTGCTCCCATCAGAATCGTTGTTAAACCTGTAAAAGGTTTCAGAAGTTTGCTTCATTGAGTTTCTGTGTTGCTGTTATTAAAAATCTGACATGATCTGTTCTGATTCATAAAGACCCCTCAAATAAACCAAGTTACCTATTTATGTGGAGTCAGAATAGATTTTGTGAACATGAGTAGATGAACTAGTCTTGAAAAAAGACAATTCAGACAGACTGTGAGCTGAGACGTCTGGAAGATATTCATCTAAGTGTACTCCCAGTGGCAATAAAAGGGACAGTGGCTTTATGACTTCACTGTAAGCACAGTGATTATGAAATATTTGTCTCAGAATATAGGTTCTTCAAAAACATGTGCGATATTAAAGTATCAACCCTACTGAAAGTCAGTTTGTACCTAAGGTGGTTGTCCTGGGTCTGGCATCTTGTGACACTCAGAGACATTCTAATACTAAAGTAATGAACATATCAGCCATGTAGAAAAATAAAAAATAGCAGTAATAATAAGGTTAACACCCCAGGGACAAAAACAACGTTCAACTGAACCTCCGGTCATGTTAGTAAAGCAGCCTGCAATAAATTATTACAGTTTATATAAATTTCAATATGTATTTATATTTTGCCCCTTATTTATTATTATTATTGGTACAAATGTACATATCTTGTATGTACATACTGTAATACAGAATTTCAGTTGTTCTGCCTTGTTCCAGTATTGACATGTGACAGAAATAATAAGATAATAAGAAAATGAAGGTTAACCTGAAATTATGAGGAAAAAAAAAAAAAGAAAGGGAGCCAGTCTCCCCGTGCTTTTTAGTTTGTCGAGAGTGAACTGACATGGACAGAAAGTGTCCCAGTAAAGATCCATGTTTTATTTAGTTGTTGTCAAGGAAACAAACCTTTCCAGCGAACATGGCTATTTGTGTGTATATGGGTTGTGCCCCAGTTGCCCTTTTGGTGATACACATTCACCTCCGTCTCTAAAACGCTTCACGCAGCTCACTAAGTGCAGGTTTGATGATGTGAGACGACGCTGAATAATGCTTCACTACTTGACTTGAAAGCTAGAAAAGGTTGGCGTCTTCCTCTTTCTAAAGCTTTTATTGTCATTCGTGCTTGAAGAAAATTAGTCAGTCAGTCCAAAGTCGAAGGACACGGAAATGGTCCAGAAGAAGAGAGTGACAAAAGAAAAATGGGATGAAGACAAAGAGGAATTCAAAAGAAGAACGGTCATGTGTATATGAATGTATAGAGGATGTGGAGCTCATTGAAGCCACTTGAACAGTGCTTCTTAGACTGTAATGTGTCTTCAGTGTGTGCTGTCCCAAGTGAGGCAACATTTTCTGCTTGGACAGGCCTGGCTCTATGTGCCATCAGAGCACCAGTGTTTCTAGTGGCAGCTTTCCACAGTATGACCTTCATTACAGCCTCTCACACACTAACACTTCTGCAGACACTCCGGGTAAAGACGCATCACTCTTAGAGCGTTTCGTGTTTGAAAATTTCCTAAAAGCTTCCAGGCTTTGCCTTCATTGTGTAAACACACACACATGGAATGCCATTTACAACCCACTTTGATCAGCCACAGCCCTGTCACTGATAAAACAGTTTAAATATGACTTCACCAACATGCAACTGAAGTACAGTGCTGCCCACTTAATATCATACCGCTTTATAAAATATCCTGTTTAGAATCATAAAATATCAAAGTCAAAATCATTTCTTACATAACCTATAGTAAAACAGCCTGTTTTTTTTTTTCATAGAATAATTTTTGTCAAAACGAAATTCCCCAAAATTTAATCCAGGAATAACTTTTGCCCATTTAAAATCATGGTTGGCCAATTGTTACGGCTCATGGCCCGAGCGTCGGTCATGCATGGCAGATTATCACACCCCGGTCAGCCGCGGAAGGCAATGTGTTTGTTTGTCAAGTACCTGCTCACCTGACATCTGCTTCACTAAGTTATTCACACACTGTTTGACGTTAATTAGGGAACATCAAAGAGAATCGCATTGTTGCAGAGCATGTCGTCACTCATAACTGACCTGCTCAGCTAGTTAATTATGACAAGTTCATCCTCTGTATACCTTCTGATTAACGGAAATAACATTTATTGATGGGGTCATCTTGAAGGCCGCTTAATTGAATATCTATCCAATTCCATCCTGGACCGAGGGTATGATAATAATCGGGCAGCACTGTACTGTGAAGACTGCATGGACAAGTGTGAGTTTATTTGCTCAGGATGTCTGCTGTCATGTCTGAAGTACAATGGAGGTGAATGGAATTGAGTTTGTGATGCTCAAAGTACACAGACTGCCACAAAAACATGCCATTTGCCTTCAAATGGCCAACCTGTGAGTGAGATTTTAAATGATGCAGACATATGTGTTGCTTAGTTTGTGGTACCTACAAAATTAAATTGAAGAATTATTAAAACTGTTCAGAGTAACACAGATTCACAGTGACTGATTATGTGTCTTATCTTACATTCTCATTTGCTGGTGAACTTAATTCTTGATGGGAGCAAAATATTAATTTTCCTGTCGCTATAATATGTGATTTCAGAGACACTACTGTTAAATCCTTTGGAGTGACTGACCTTTTTGGAATAATGGAGTCAAGTTCAATTAGCTAGCTGTTATCATCTTGGTGGGCGTAACAAAGTTTACATTTCAACACAGCGAATGTGAAGTGACAGTGTTTTCTCTTCTCGCCATGTTTTATGTCATTGTAATCGCTCGTCTTCTTCCAAATTCTTCAGCATTGTCCTCTTCTGTTTCGTCAGGCTGCTTTTCATCTAAAGCGGAGGACAGATTATTTCGGAGGCTGTTCCGAAGGTACAACCAGTTCATCCGGCCCGTGGAGAATGTCTCTGATCCAGTTACCGTGGAGTTTGAGGTGTCCATATCTCAGCTTGTCAAAGTGGTAAGAGCTGTCTTTAAATGAAAATCACATTTTAAAGAAAAGACTGTGGCTCATCCATTCACAGGACTAATTTGTTCTGTTTGTTCTTTCAGGATGAGGTGAATCAAATTATGGAGACCAACCTGTGGCTGAGACATGTGAGTGCTGCTTATGTCTAATCCTTCATGAGTTGGTTTGTCTTAGTTCTTCACAGTCAATTATGTTCACGTCAGATTATTTCTAGCTTTGCACGTCTTTCAGGTGTGGAACGACTATAAACTGAAATGGACCCCTATTGAGTATGACGGGATTGAGTTCATACGAGTTCCATCCAATAAGATTTGGAGGCCAGACATTGTCCTGTACAACAAGTAAGTTTTAGAGCACAAATGTTAGGAGGTGAAGGGCTCAGCTTATCCATTGCCGTGTTGAGACACATAACTGTTATCAAGGTTTTGTCAGTCATCATTTTCTTGAAATTTTACGCCCATTTTCTGTAAATGTCTAAATAAAAGTTCAATGTATCATTTTTCAGTCCTTTCATTGCTACAGAAGCTACTGCAGCTAAATTTTAAATAAACATCTTCCGTCATAGGCAACCACCTACAGTACATATGCATGTCCTTTCAATTGCCAGTGTGACGTCAGTCTGAATGCACATCTTGTCCTTTAACTTAAAAATAACTTATTCACTCCATTTCTTTACCTTGCTAATGACATTCACGTATGTTCTCCATCTCCTGACCTTTTGAGTTAAGTGTTGTAATGGACTTGAAAATGCTCCCTCGCAGTGCTGTTGGGGATTTTCTTGTGGAGGACAAGACCAAGGCTCTGCTGAAGTTTGACGGCACAATCACTTGGGTTCCTCCAGCGATTTTCAAATCCTCCTGCCCCATGGACATCACCTACTTCCCCTTCGACTACCAGAACTGCTCCATGAAGTTTGGCTCCTGGACCTACGACAAGGCCAAGATCGACCTGGTGCTCATTGGCTCAAAGGTCAGAGGGACCATTGGGGGTCACATGGGAGAGATCTGGTCTAGAAATGTTATTGTGCATGATATATTCGTTTGTCTTTTATTGGATTTGTGTGTATCATTTTTACGCAGAAACAAAGTATGAGCGGGGACAGTATTGAGCCACAAATGCATGTTTATGTGATCTTCTAACTTTTATGCCACAAAACCTGACTTTTGTTTTAAAACAAAAACCTAATAAGTGGATTTTAACTTCTTTTTGTCCAACTTGTTTAACTTACTTTTCATATTTGCATTTACCTTGCCAGGTGAACCTGAAAGACTTCTGGGAAAGCGGGGAGTGGGAAATCATCGATGCTCCAGGATACAAGCACGACATCAAGTACAACTGCTGTGAGGAGATCTACCCCGACATCACCTACTCCTTCTACATCCGCCGCCTGCCTCTCTTCTACACCATCAACCTCATCATCCCCTGCCTCCTCATCTCCTTCCTTACCGTGCTGGTCTTCTACCTCCCGTCTGACTGCGGGGAGAAGGTCACCCTGTGCATCTCCGTCCTCCTCTCCCTCACTGTGTTCCTGCTGGTCATCACCGAGACCATCCCTTCAACGTCTCTGGTCATCCCTCTGATCGGAGAGTACCTCCTCTTCACCATGATATTTGTCACGCTCAGCATCGTCATCACCGTCTTTGTGCTGAATGTCCACTACCGCACCCCAATGACTCACACGATGCCGGAGTGGGTGAGGGCGGTGTTCCTCGGGGTGCTGCCCAGGGTGATGCTCATGAGGCGGCCAATTGACCAGGGCTGCTCCTCGCCCGCCAGCATTACCGGAGGGATGGCAGGAAGCAGTGGAGGAAACAAGAAGAGGAAGAACAGCATTGGAAGTGGCTCGGGAAGTGTAAGTGTTGGAGGCATAACTGGAGGCGTTGCATGTCCACCGCTGGATAGCGGTGCAGGAGGAGGAGGAGGAGGAACCTCATCAGCGGGCGGCTCCATGAACTGTGTGGAATATGGCGAGATAAACCGGGACTTGAATCGTGAAGTGAATCGTGACTTAAATCAAGGCTTAAACCGTGATTTAAATCGCGATTTGAACCGTGACTTGAACCGGGATATAAACAGGAGGTGCCCCTACAGAGGCAAGGAGGTGCCGACTCCTGTTCCACCCCCGATGGTGCCTCCGCCTCCTCCTCCTCCTCCTCCTCCTCCTCCCCCCCAGGCACCTCCGACCCAGGGGCCCCAGGAGTCGGAGCTGCCCAAGGTGCCGAGGCCCCTCAGCGCTCCGTCGCCGGTCAGTGCTGTCGTTGCGTTTTCTGTGGTGTCGCCAGAGATCAAGCAGGCCATCGAGAGCGTCAAGTACATCGCAGAGAACATGAGGACTCGCAACAAAGCCAAAGAGGTGCGTACAGTTTGAGTTGTGTGTGTTGCTGTCTGCATAATATTTGGGAGTGTGGCTAGGGGCAATCTCAGCAGAGACCTGTAAATGTATTTATTGATGGCCATTTATTTTGCTGAATTTCCATTTAGTTCAATTTAGTGAGATTTATACAGCACAAATTCACAACATAAATCATCTCAGGGCACTTCACGTAGTCAAGATCTTACAATAACGTATCGCAGAGAGAAACTCAACAAATCCAATGACCTGGAACATTAGCCTTCATTTACATGTTTCATTAAGATTAAAGATATCTCTCAGTAGAAGATCTAATAATGTAAAATCATGATTTAATATGATGCTGAAAATCTCCAGGCGTGTAGCGGGAAACAGCGTCAAGGCACTGCTGGAAGATGCTCTCTTTGACAAAGTGAAGCTGTGCTGATAACCTCAATACTATCCACAGAAAAGCAGGACTCTTCAAATCACACACTAAAGAAAACAATATTGGAGTCTTGAAGGGCCAATCCATTGATTTTTACATGTCAGCCTGTTGACAGGTCTTAAGAAACACAACTGCAGTTATACAAAAAATTCTATAAAAAGCCTTTTGTGGCCAAAGAAACTGTGCTACATCTGACAAAGCGTTTTAAGTGACATCACTTGAGGAATCGTTGGTGGGGCTCCACGTTTGTAAATGAAAATAGTCTGGGGTTTGGAGTTTTGAAAAAAAAAAGAAGCGAACCAGGACTCTAATCCGCTCGAGGCTTGAAGCTTGGGGCTATATTCGTCACTACTAGCATAACACACTCTGAATGTCTGACCACTTCATCAGTGGTTGTCCTACATAGTCGGCAATATAGTCGGCAGGTTTTCTACGAGGAGGAAGATAGTGTAAAATGTAAAAAAAAAAATATCTCTATTTGTCCTGCATCAGTCTTCATCCCTTTTTGTTTTTTTAATTGTCAGTCAGGAGTCTAACAATGTTATACAAGCATAAGAGCAATTTTCTATCAGCAGAGTACACAACAGTAACAACATTCATAATTAGAATAATCTGTCCGCATCCTGTGTGCGCTGCTGTCAAACCTCCTCACATCTCTTTTTTCACGTCACTGTAGTAGCATCTTGCATGCAGCTGTGTGCTGCACTTGTTCTCACAAATTGCTGCCTGCACAGCCCTGAAATGCTGCTACAAATACGTATATGAACAGAGTTGCAGAGCAGACACGCAAAACCTTGAGCAACTACACTTTCGAAGACATTGTGCAGACTCACACTCCCGTCACACACGTCTTAGTGAAAAAAAAGGCAGGATCAAGCGTTTTTTTTTTCCACAAAAGATAAACATATACTTACTAAATGTAAATATGAGTTTGTATAACAGTAGTCTTTGCAAGCAAATGTATGGGTATGTGGTGTTTTGGGGGTAAATTAAAGCTAATCAAAACAGACGGAGGCAGTGCTGGATAGCTGAACTTACAGGGTCAGTCATGGATGGTGTGACCAAGAGGTACCCAGTTTCACTAATATGTACTCCGCATACAGGCACCTTAAGGGAGACGCAAATAGAAGCATGAAAAGAGGAGAAAATAGCACGTCAAGGCCACGATAAAGCCAGAAGGCCACCACAGACTTATCCAAACCTTAACTATTCAATTCTAAACACCGACACTCAAGCCTCGTCTCAATCTCAACCTGGCCTTAAAACAAAGTCTTAACTAATCACTTAATTTATTCGTAGACTGGTGTAAACAGATTTAAACACAACACAAAAATAAACACGCGCACACAACAAAGCTCTACTGCATGTGTGTCATCGCTGCATAGTAGGTACATTTCTACCTAGCTTAGCAAACAGCACAGAAACCATTTACACGAGGCTATAAAGGGAGTGTAAAGCCGCTTGTTTGCCACAGATGGAGGGCTTTGTGTGCGCCTTCCCCACACTCTGGATGGTCCTGATATGTTTGTTGCTTCGGCTCCATCTTTTCGCAGCAGCGCTCAGATCTTTCTTTGATGCTTGCAGAGTCGCCGCACTGCCTCCTCTAAACACACAAAAGCATCACGGTCACTGCAGCCATGATCTTATTGTCCACACCTAAATGACGGAGGGATACTATAAACAGGGCCGTGCAAACGTTTTGGGCACCAAAAGGGTGTGAGGATGCTTTTAAAACAATAGTTAATATTTATTCATGCATAGATCGGGAAATCCAAGTTTAAAAAAAAACAAAGATATTTGTTGTGACCACAGATCTCCTAGTTACACCGACTCAAGGGTTTTCCAAGTAGATTTTTCTAGCATCTTGGAAAACTTGCCAGAGTTCTTCTGTGGATTTAAGCTGTCTCAGTGTCTTCTGCCTCTTTATGTTACCCCAGAATCACCCGATAATGTTGAGATCAGGACTTTGTGGAGGCTATATTATCTATTCTTTTCTTTGTTCTTCTCTAGTTCCTTGTAAATCTAGCTGTCTGTATGCACTCATTGCCATGCTTTAGGTTGAATTTGGGACCAATCAGACACCTTCGTGACTGCACTCTGTGATGTGAAAAGTCTAAACATATAAAGTTCCTCAAGCATTTGCACAGTACTCCATAATAACCACATGTTTGAGAGGTGTTTTCCTCTCACTGTCTCTTACACAGAAAAACAGAAACACGCTTATTCTCCTCACAGCCACACAACTGTAGTGTCGACACAGTGACATGCAGTGAATGTGACAATCTGTGCTGTTGCTGTAAAGTTCACAATTACCATTAGGCAAAGGTCACCGTGAGTGTTTGGGAAGGAGAGAGAGTGCAGCGCTGTTGTGCAGTATATTTTTGAACTTGCTGCTGATGCACGCACTAAAATTTCCTGTCTTCTCTCCTCAGGTGGAGGACGACTGGAAGTACGTCGCCATGGTCATCGACAGGATTTTCCTGTGGGTTTTTGTGACAGTGTGTGTGTTGGGGACTCTGGGACTCTTCCTCCAGCCACTCATCAGCTTCTTAAAATGAGACGCTTGTCTTTGTCGTTGCTCTTCCTTTCTCTTTTTGTCTCTATACCCCACTTGCATTATCATCCCCCTTGCAGTTTTCTTCACATCAAACACTGGAGTAAATTTGTCCTCCTTTTCTGGCTTTTTGTCTCTCCTCAATCTGTCTCTTGCTCTTCTCTGGGACTTCATCATCAGCCATCACTTCCAGCCCTCCGCTGTCTGTTTTCTCGCATGACTTTTTCAGATTTCCACACTCTGCAGGGTTTCTGCCCTGCCAGTGTGCAAGAAATGTCATGTTATCCAGTCCTTCTCTCTATCATTTTTTAAAAACTTATTATCACATTGGCTATCCTTTCTTTGTTTTTTTTCCTCTCCTGTGCCGTGCTACGTCCTGCCACTGCTGACAGCTTATCTTTTCACGCTCGTCTTCTGTCTCCCATTGTTGGCTGTATTTCCATTCAGTGTGTTTTACTGAAAATGTGCACTCAGTCATGGGTATTGTACAGTCTTGTACAATGTCTAACATAGTCAGGTAATTAGTTAAGGAATTATTATTTAAATTACTGTAGAAGAACCTCTTAAAGACATTAATCACTAAAAAAAAAGAAGAAGAAGAAAAAACCTGAGTAACTTTGCAATAGCACTTTGTCATTGTAAGCCAGTGCAATAAAGACAATACACTTTTGAGAACTGTGGTACAGTATGTACTCTTAAGTTTATATATGATTAACTGTTACTTTAACTGTTTTTGGACAGCTGGTTAAAAAAAAAAAGTGTTTTCTTGATGTCAAATACCTGCAAGTACATTTCCCTGTAAATACCTTTGTAAAATATAAGTGAGTTATGCATGGCTTCTGAGAAGGACACTGACTGTGGCTGTACACCTTTAATGATGATGTGTGTTTTAATCATGCACCACACACACACACACACACACACACACACACACACACGGACGAAATCAGTGCAAACTTGCAATGTATAAAACACTTTAAATTGCACAATGTAGATTAAACTTGTAAAAAGACTTAAAACAACAAAACCGCCTCAAGTCATTTCTAATAATATTTAGGGTAACTCAGATTAAAGGTAAAATGCTAAATGTTGAGGAGTTTATGCCGTGTCAACTGTGTGTGACTCCACTGTTGTGTGTCTGTGTGCGTTCTGCAGTATATATCAGCGGTAAACATACATAGATCAGCCACAGCACTTAAACGACTGAAGTGAATTGACATTGATCATCTCATAACATTGCAGTGTTCTCTTGGGAAACCTTAGCTTCTGTCATTCATGTGGACGTTGACATTCACCACCTAAACATTTTGGCAGAACAAGCACCTTCTACTTCCCCGACACTAGCAGCTTCCCCCAGTATGACCCCACCACTCTGCAAAAACTGTTCAGGAATGGCTCGAGGAACATGACAAAGAGCCAAAGATGTTGACCCGGCCTCCAAACTCCCCAGATCCCAACCTGATTAGTGCCAGATCAGCTCCAATGCAAGGATCCTGTTGCCAGACAACACAGGACACCTCAGAGGTCCCATCTCTACACACTGACTGATCAGGGCTGTTTTGTGACACGAGGAAAACCTACACAGTATTCGGCAGGTAGTTTTACAAATGTACAATGACACAGTGTTTTGGAAGCTGTAGAGTAAAGGAGTAATTTGCTACTGTGTAAGAGATAAGAGAAAGAAGCAGCTGGTAGAAGGGAAGACAGGGATGATGCACAGGGAAAAAGAAAGGAATGAAGAATGGATGAAAAACTGAAAAATCTACAAAATCACATTGCATAATAGGTCAGCAGAACAGATCTGGGAAAAATGGGCACTGGCAGCGTATATAGGCACAAATAAAGTATCTTCAAATCATTGCAAGTCATGAACTGCAACATCAAGAACTTTTAGACATATATAGGAAAGTGTTGTACTGCAACATATAGACATCGTAATTACCCCAAGACAATAAAAACAAATAACAGCTGCAAAAGATATTGCAGAAAACAAAAAGATTAAACCAAAGAGGAGCTCTCTGTTCAGCACAACATAATCAAAAACACCCAACACTGTATAAACAACTGCACTCTGTTGTACTTTGTCTTTTTCATGTCGTTAGCAGCTCAGAACTGGTCTAGTTAAAGCTGAGCTGGTTTTTATCATCCAGTAAGTATTTAGAAGTCATATTTTTTTTAAAAAACAAACAAAAAAAAAAGAAAGGGAATTTTAATTAGTGCTGTTTAATCATTGGCCTTTTTTTGAGCTCCCAGTGCAAACACAGTGATGCACAGATAAGTGACAAATGGATGAGTCAGTCATCTGTTGTTTTGACACATTAGTGCTGTATCATAGCCTATATTAATAATCACACCAACTGTGTGTTCCTTAAACAACGCTACCAGTGCAACTAACAATACACACAAAGGTGGTGTCAGAGAAGTCTGGTAGCTGTTGAGGTAGCACCAGATGATGTTTCTCGCTGGGGTCTTGATGCTATACCTCCCAAATTCACTGCAAACATGAATATTTATTATAAGTCAAGGTCAGTGTTTTATATGTGAAGATATAGTGAGATATGTACTAATTTATATCTGACAAAAAACAAAGAGTACCCACAGAAGATTTTCATATATTTATTTATTCTGATTTGTCTTTTATCTCTCTTAATTGTGAAGCTCTTCATAACTTTGTGAGTCGTGCTTTGTTAAACATTTTTATTATTTATTGTGTTGGAATGGCTACTAGGCTGGCAGCGGTACATCCGTGGATGCATTCAACAACTATTGTTTCATCGGAAATATTTGAGAAAACTTACTTCTGATGATTGTTCCAGACATTTCAGAGTGAACTCAAGGCGGTGAGGCCACGAGTTAAGTTTAGTGTATTATTTGCTCCAAAGGGCTTCAGTCTGAAATCTGATTTTAACAGGCAACGAACATACACGATCATATCCACTGATCCACACCGGGTGAGCGAAAATAAAACTCCAAATTTCATCTCCGAAGCAAAAACCCAGCATTTTCATTTAAAGCTCCACACCTTTTCTGACTTATCCCTCTTTCCGTCCCTCTATCAAAGGTCATGGATGGGTCTGAATGCGCCCATCAGCTCCCCCACTCAAACACACACTCGCTGAAAGTTCAGGGCGGTGAAGGCGCAACACACACACAGCCCTTTCGCCCTCCAGTCACATTGGAGTGTGACTGTGGCTTTGAGTTGGCCCACCCTGTGGCTCCCAACAACTCAGCTGCTCACACTTAATCCCTACTTGTGTAGTTTCAATGAGCATATTAGTGTGCGCATGAGTGTGTGTGTGTGTGTGTGTGTGTGTGTGTGTGTGTGTGTGTGTGTTGGAGAGGAGAAGAGGAAGATTACACATGTAACCTGAGGAAGTAAGAGTGAGAAACAGAGAGAGAGAGAGAGAAAGAGGCTGAGATAGCGACCAAGTGTGAGCATGTTTCTGAGTTCATATATGCACTTAGCAGCCCGGATCTCGCTACATGCGGATTATAGGATGGATGGAGTCGAGCTATAAATATGAAGATGCAGCAGCCGAACCACAGACTCTCACAGTATCCCATCAGTCTCAGTCTGCAGCCTGACAGGGTCACATCAGTGCCTGGCAGTTGCAGAATGAAGAGATCAGCCTGTGATCTACTCCAGCTATATTTGGACTGTATTTGTGTGATGCATGCAATTTTCATAACAGGCTCTACCCCCAACTTATTGAATTGCCTTTCAAACTTTTTTACCAGGGAATGAAGTGGTAAACAAGCCGGACAACACTGCGTTCTTCTATAATCTGTTTCACGTTAAACCTCTCATTCCTCCTGAACAAAGATGTTTCTCTTTCACATAAGTGGATTCGCAAAGACTCCCAAATTGGGTGATTCTAGAAAGCTGCAGCCACTTTAATCTGAATTTGTGATGGCGTAAGTTTGATATTTTAAAGCTGCGGATCGTACTCGAATGATTGGACTTCCAAGTGCTCGGCGGCAGTCGGAGCAAAGCAGAGTGCAGCAAAGCTCTGGGTGGTAAATTGCGGGATAATACATTATTAAGCCAGCCACATGGATGAATATTTTACATGATTCTTCACTGTTGACGAAAATGTTAGCATCCAACTCCTGGATAACAGGTCTACAGGATGACAGACTTGTCACAGCTTTTGAGTCTGCAGAAAATCATTTCATGCTTGTTTTCAGGTTGATTTTTTATAAAGTTTTGGAAAAATAGAAGCATGGTTCTTTACATGCTTCGGCTTCTGCTCTTTCTTGGTCCACATCTTTTGTCTTCTTTACCTTTCTTCTGTTGGTCTTTGATCAGTATTTACAGGGCTCCTGTGTGCCAGAATGGGAGGATTTGATGAGAGGATATCTGCAGTGGACCACTTGGGTTTGCTGGGGAGCGTTAGGGTGGGGTTGTAGGGTGAGACGGGGGCATACTGCAGAAGGGTGGAGGGTGAATTAGGGTAGTCTCTTGTGTCGTTGGGAGCAGAACGGTACATGCCTGCGGCCAGTCGACCGTGGATAAGTAAAGGAGACTCTCCGTTAAATAATTCATTCCATTGGGAGCCTTCTGAACACACACACACACACAGAGTGCTCTCACACACAAATGGCTGTTTCTTGAAGTACAATATTGCACATGCTCACATCAAACACACACTCACATATGCTCACAAGGAGCACTCTTCTAATTTTACTCTGTGATGAATATTTATAGATGGATGAAGAAACATTGTCTTAGAATTAACAAAAAAAAAAAGGTTTTTGTTGGAAAAAAAAGCTTCTGGATTGTCCTTGGGTTTATGAACAAACATAGAAAAGTGTAACTTTTAGAGAAATGCAAACAACACTTTCGATAAATCAAGAAAGCATTTGCACTTCTGTTGCATATTTTTTTATATATTAATGACGAGGTTATTTTTTGCACCAACGGTGAGAGAATTCTTTTTCTATTTTTCCTTCAATTCATGAAAATATTGGATGCGTTTTCATCTTTCGCCATCCTAAAACAAC